CAGCAGGAAAAACTTCCAAAACGCCTGGATGCCACATTTCTTAATATGTCAAAGTTGTTCAGAGAGAAGCTACTCATACTTGTAACAGACCGTATCACCATCATTCCCCTTGCATTTAAGTTACTATTTTGGGAGACCTGCACATAAAGGTGAAGTAGGCAGTATATCTACAGTATATCCATTGTTAATATTCAGTGAATCCCAGGTTTAGGCCTTGATAGCCAAAATTTCTATCCATTAAACCTACCTTCTTCACAGGCAATGACACTGTACCAAGACAGAAGGAAAAAGTGCCCCACCAACTTCAACAGGGGCTAGCATGCATGTAAAATAAAGGCTGGATCCACATGTTTTACTGCTTTTGCTGTTAACCAGTCCTTTAATCCTTCTCAGCAGAAGGAATAATAGTAAAAACCAAATCAGCCCTTACAGTCACTTAAAACATTTAAGCTTAATGCTATAAAGTGCATATTAGAACATTTAGTTTATTAATGGGGTTGGAACGCTCAGTGTTGAGCAGTGAACAAATGCATCCCTTATTTGCATGCAGGGAATGACTAAGTCAATAGTATCTGATTAAAAATGACATGGTACACATTTTCCACAGAAGCAGCAATTATATTTAAACTTAAATTCCTGTCATCCATAAGATAAAGTTTTGTGGTTAAGTCAATATACAGTATAACCTCATAAATCTGGCATGCTTGGGACTGAGTACCTGCCGGAAATGTGAAAATTCTGGATTTTTGAAACCAGAGTGCTGGCCAGTCCTGGAGCAGTGGCTGCACACAGAGTGGTGGCGCGGGGAGGTGGATGGCAGCGGCAGCCGCCATGTGCAAGCTTCCCCCTCCACTGCTCTAGGGACCGCCTGCCGCTACTCCCAGATGGAGTATAGCTTTAAAAAGTGCTGCAGTTTTGATAATTCCGGATTTTTGACTTCCAGATTTATGAGGTTATACTGCATTTATACTTCAGACAAGTTTCTGAAAAAGAAACTAAATTTTCTCATATATTCACCTTGGTGCTAAACATTTTTGGGTTAAAAAAAACAAAACAAAACAAAACCCCCCCCGAAACATTTAAACGACTTACATTCAAATTTCAAGACCCAACATCCAGACAGAACAGCCATCATATATTTGAAAGTACTTCGGATTGAATCATCAGGGACAATAACGTGAGTCACTAGAATAAAAAGTTATATGTAAGAAAGCCTACAAGCATATAAATACAACCCCATCTGTAAGTTTTATTTCAAACTCAATCACCCACCCTTCGTGAAACTCTTCCTTTCCCATTTTAATCAATCACTCTTCTCCATGCCCCAAATATACAATTTTGTTATTCCATTCAAATATTGTTATTCCATTCAAACTTTCATTTCTAAAATATGTGTAAGAGGGTAAAATTAAAAATGTAGTAATGCTGAATTAAAAATGCTGCAAGAGGAACAAAATAAAAAAGCAAAACCAGCTTTTTTAGTGCTGGTGCAACTTGAACCTTCTGTTAGCTACACAATTAATAGAAGGAAGAACGTAAGTGACATAAAATTGCATCATCTTTGATGATAATATTCCAAGACTTATTACAGATTTTCAGTATTTTGGGACAAGTATGATGGTACTCTCCCAGCTAACAATTTTAGGCTTTACAGATGGCAGCAGCTGAGCTGAATGCAGGTGAGAGTCCCTCTTAACTTTAACACAGTTGGTGAAGCTCTTCAAAGAATAAGCTAAATCAATGAGGTATTTCATGACATTTTTTAAGGCATTATCAAGGTGCAATTATGCATAACCACCTTAAATAAAGAAGATCTGCAAACTGCATAGAAAGGTTGCTGTTGAGAGAACCTGTCACACTGGTATTTTCATCATGCTACAGGTCAATAGATCTGCCTCTCTTTAAAAGCTGTGTAGCACTGCCACTAAGCAAGCATGAAAGAGGGCTCAGAAGAAAGTACAACATGCAGCAACTCTAAAGCTGGTTCAGTTTTAGCAGGTAAGGCCCTCTCCTTTTTAAAACAGAAAGAGAGTAATACTAGCTGCCTAAAGTTAAGGGGCTTTAGTAACAGCACGCTGCAGAAGTGCTGGTTTCCTCAAGACCTGCCTCAGTAGGCTAGCCAGAGCAGAGAACCATCAATTCCAAATACCAGAGCTCCCAAAGTACCCGTAGAAGTGGTGGTGTAAACCACTTTGATGTTAAAGCCAATACACTGGCCTTTTATAGGGGAGCTGTGATGACATTAATACATGCAGGACAAAAAAAAAAAAATCATCAGAATCCTAAACCATCAGGTTTTCTGCTTCATGCAGGGTCTCAGGAGTCCCCCATCTTATGGAAGTCAAGGAAGGTTCCAGGACATTTCTCCATGATCTGGAAGTACAGAGGCAGTATCCAGCAATCTATGACTTCCATGGTGCATTCCAAGGTAGACTAACTGGTTGTTTGCAGACGTGAAAAAAACAAAACCAAACCCTAGTGTTTTATTTAAACTCAGCGCAGTCCCATGCCAAGCACAGTGCATGCCCAGAAGAGGCATGGCATTAGCTGGACCCAGCTCACCCAAAGTCTGTAACAGATTGGACACTTTAGTACAGTGGTTCAACCTGTTTTATACTGCAGACTGGTATGGGAGTAGGACAGGGCGCACAGAGCTGGCTGCCTCCCTCCCAGGGCTGCCCCGCTGCCCAGCTTTAACCCCGCATGTGACTATCAGCAGTGGAAGCTGCTTGCCCGGGTAGACAGATGGGGGTCCATGCAGGGGACTCGTGCCACAACCCGGCAGCCAACACTTTGCGGCCTGGTACCGGGCTGCGGCCCACTGGTTGGGAACCTCTGCTTTAGTAGGGCTTTTTTTGTGCTTTTACCTAATAGCTGATTGAATCGGCTTCAGACAAAAGTGCCAAAAAGCCCTGTTGAGGCACCCAATCTGTACAGATTCTGGGCAGCCGGGTAGAACTAACACACTGCTTCTTCCGGGAAAGCATGCGTTTGGTTTTTTCTCCACGTCTGTCAGCAGCCACCCTCACTACCTTTGTGACGCAGACAGACAACCTTGTTAGTGTCGTAGGATCATATCTAAGACATCCATAACAAAATGGATGCAAAAAAACAAGAGGGGAAGGCTGAAATGGAATAGCCAAGTGCCATAAACTGAACAGCCAAAACATGAGAGGAGAGGCTGAGCTCCCCAATTTCAGTGATGGATTGCCAAGAAAGATGCAAAGGTATGACAAACATCAGAGCTGTTGTGCTGAGGCATCAAAAATACAAGGACAAAGGCAGGTGCTGTGGCCAGAACACCAGCATGAGCAGACTGGCTGCTGGCACCAGTCTCTACCAAAACTGCTTCCAAACTGACAACCAAAAACAAGAAATACCCTGAAGCTGAAGTGCAATACTAGAATAACCTGATGACTAAAGCACCTAAGGAAAACAAAAATACCTCATTTGCAAATGTTTAAAAGCTAGAAATTATGGAAAAGGATACCAGATGGGTGAAGTGA